TTTTGGGGGGGGGGGGGGGGGGGGCGAAACATGTGGAGCGATGCGACTATGAGTATGACCATGACTTATGATGGTAGTATGCAGTACGAGGTGTCGACTACGACTACGACTATCGCTATCTTGGTAGTACGGAGGAGCGATACAAGGTATGGTCATATATATATGCATGCCTATGAGCAGAGTAGAGTTGTTAGACTTGCCACGCTGATACCAGTCAAGAAGGTGGGAATGAATAAAGATTCATTAGTAAAAAAACAGCTAAAGGTAGGGGGAGAAGAAGAAGATCTATGTTTTGCCGTCTCGGGTCAGAATCGGCAACTTTTATTTTGTATATATATATATATACAAAATAAATAAATATATATTTGTATAATTCTTTTTCAAATACTGTGAGCTTATACGCCATGACCTGACGTTTTTGTAAAGGGCAGCAAAAAAAAAAAAAAAAAGACTGTGTTCAGATGAGAGATGTAGACATGAGGATGGCGGTGAAGCCTGTGTGTCTGTGTGTCTGTGTGTATGTGTGTATCTCATCTCTCAGTGTCTCTTGAGAGACCACGCTCCCCCCCACACCCCCCTAAACCGTCGAGTCTCTCTCGTCTCTTCTTCTTCCTCTTACTCGGATCACGGAGGGCTGGGAGGCGCAACGGCACGGGGTCACCGTCCTCCTGTCGTCTCGGGACAACAGTGGCATCGGCAGCAGCGGTGGGTGGCAGATAGCAGCTGCCCTGCCACATGCCACGTATCTCAAACCTGTGCCGCTGGGTGGGCAAGGGAGCAGCATCACGGCGCGAGGCATCGATACTCGCAGTGCTCCTCCTCTACGGGGGTGTACGCATGTACATGTACGCACAGTTGAGAGAGGCCCTATACGCCGGCCGGGTATAATACATGATGCAAGACATGCCGGCACAGGCTCGTCCCGTACGGCCACACGGAGCATATCATACAGGTAGATAGACATGGCAGATGGAGAGAGGCATAGCAGGAGAGATTTACATGGGGAATGGGGCAGACGCTCTTCTTCTGCGTCGTCGTCGTCGTCGTCGTCAACGTTGCTCAAGATTTTTGTTGTATCTATACGTAGTGGGTGACGTTGAGATGCAGATGCGAAATGTATCGCATATTCTATCTAGCCGCAGGACTGGTAAGAAGGAGAGAAGGAGAAGAAATAAAGAAGGAGAAGAAGAAGAGGAAAAGAAGGGGAGAAAAAAGAAAGAAAAAAAAAAGGGAAAAGAAGAATAAATAAATGTATAAATGTGTGTATATATATATATATATATATATGTATATGCATATATGTACATGTATATATGTATATATGTATAAATGTGTATATATAGAGAGAAAGGGAAAAAAAATCAGGATCTCGGGACGGCTGGAACTAGTTGCAGGGGTATCCATCCATGCTTCTTCCTTTTCCTCGGCCGCTTGTGCTCAGCAACTCCGACCCTGATAAGAACACCCCCCCCTCCGCTCCTCCTCCCCCGGTCACGTTCTTAGCGAGTTCCTTCTCTCTCTCTCTCAATGCTGTCATGTACATGCCACTCCGTAGTATTCTTAGTATCATCCGAAATGCAATATTACCATACGTACACGCCTACCGGGAAAGTCTGTCAGCCCCCAAACCCACACCCCGGGGTATGACTATCTACTTCATACCAAGTACAGATTGCATTTATCGTGTGAGTAGAGAAAGGAAGGAGAAAAAAAATAAAGAAGAAAAGCCCCCTACCCACCCCCACCCCCCTCCCCCGATAACTACACCCCTCCCGTCTCAACGGCTCGATGCCAACGTCGACTCTCCCGCTTCTTCATCTTGAAGGGTAAGAGAGAAGAAAAGAACCACACACCACACACCCCCTATGTAACTTGGGGAAAAGGGGGGGGGGGCAACAATCACGAGTAATAGCGTACGAGTACTTGTAATAGCTTAGCCTCTCGGTTATTTATTTTTTTGTTAGGAGAAAGAAAGAGAGAGAGAGAGAGAGAGAGAGGAACTTGTTGCTTGCCGGTGCTGTGTGTGCTCCTTTTTATAAGATGTCGACGTCTGTTTTATCCTTCCTTTTTCTTTTTCCAAGGTAGATCACTTGAAGTTTGTTTCTCTCTGGCT